AAGAAAAAGAGAGAGCATGAGCAGGGGGAGGGCAGGGGCAGAGGGAGAAGCAGGTGCCCCGCTGAGCAGGGAGCACGAGGCAGGACTCGATCCCAGGACCCCGGGATCATGAGCTAAGCCCAAGGCAGACGCTTCCCTGCCTGAGCCACGCAGGCGCCCCTCAGTAGATTCTTTCTACTAGAGTCTGTGTCTTCGGTAAAATTCTCTTTCCGTGAAAGTCTTTAATAACTCCCGACAGGAGGATCGCGGGTGGTTCTGTTTTTATTGGTTTGAGGATATTTACTTGGTCTTGCCTGCTCTCATGCTAGGTAAGTCTTATTGAATTGATGGGTGTTATGTTTGAAGGACTGTGGGGACTGTGGATAATTTTCCCCCCGAGGACGGTCCTGTCCTCTGGCAGGCCGGTGGACTGTGGGGAGCTGGCCATGTCCGGTGCTGGCCCCGCCCGGGACCTAACCAGGAGCTTCGGTGTGTGCTCGCCTTGGGCCAGGGGCGGGAGCCCGGGATCTCTTTCCCACCGGCTCCCACCCTCCACGTGGACTGCTGCTGCCAGGTCTGGGGGAGCCCGTGACATGACATTCGACCACTTCTCTTTTGCCACTTCTTGCAGGGGCTGCGTGCTCTTGACAGTCTGGTCCCTGAGTGTGGCTGTCTTGGAAACGCCCGGACCCTAAGCTTCACCTTCCTGCAGGCAGGACTGCACGAGCCCCAGGCCTGTGTGCCTGGCCCCAGGGCAGCTGGTGCCCTAAGCGGGAGCTCAAGCAACGGGCATGGCCCTCCTTCTCTTGAGGGTCTGCCCCACAAGGGTGGCTCCCAGTCGCTCTCCTGCATTTTATCTGGCTTTTTGGCTGGAGGGGCGCTCTCCTGTGCATCGTGCGGGAGGGGGATCTCCTGATGGGGAGCAGCAGCCCCTCCTTGCCTGGCATTCACCCCTAAGTGCTCTGCCTGCCTCTGCGGTGGGGCCCTGGGTGGGTTTGCCTCCAGCCACGGGTGAGCCTTTCGAGACTGAGGTCTGGACTGTCTCCTTCCTTGTGTGGACTGTCCGTGGCTTTCCCCATGGCCAATGGCTGTAGCTTCCAGCTCCCATGTCCCTTTCCCTCCCTCCCTCCTCTCAGCCACAGCAGCCTATGGCTGCTACTCCCTGGCATCAGGGATGCTGGCCTTCCCAGAGCTCCCCAGTCAGAGATGCTGGCCTGCTGCCAGCCTGTGCGGAGCAGAGAACTTCCAGAGCACGGAGGTCAGCGTGATGCCCGAGCGAGGACTGCACCAGGCTGGGCCTGAGCCGGGTGCACAGGGCCCTCATGGGTGTGGGGAGGCACAGGTGTGCTGGAACCAGGAGCCGCCAGCACAGGATGGACTGTGCCGGTGTTGGGAGGCTGGGCCTGGCGCTGGGGCCAGGGCATGTCCTCCCCCAGCAGTCAGGGCAGCAGGGCCACTGGTGTGCCAGCGCATGCGGCTGACCTGGGATCTGGCCCTCGGTCTTTCCCATACCTCTTCCTGGCACAGGTCCTGGTGTGGAGCCCCGAGGGCAGGGTGCAAGGGTGCAGGCACCTCCACGCTGTGGGAGTGTCGTGCAGAGTGGTGACGGAGACCTGTGTCGATCATTCATTCAAGGAGTGGTGTACACAGAGGAAACCCCAGCACAGGATGCTGCAGCCTGGCCCCGTCTCTGGGGTCAGGTGCATTGTGCTGGGGATGTGGAGAGTGCAGGGAGCAGGGTCAGTGTAGCAGGCAGTGTGTGCTCGGCGTGTGCGTGGGGGCAGGCTCGGAGCCCTGCAGGCTACCACTCCTTTGCCAGGCGAAACAGTGCAGGGGGCACGGCTGCGAGCTCCTCTGTAGACAGAGGTGTGTGTTGGGCCCATAAATAAGTGCCTCCCTGCCCAGGTTTCCATCCGGGCCTGGGAATGGTGGTGCCAGCTCGTAGCGTGGCCGCCCCGCCATTCCCACCGTCGTCTGCTGGACACACGTGCAGGACCTTCCAGACCTTCTGGTGGACTGGGCGCCAAGAGCAGTCTCCCTGGTCCTGTCTTTGGGCGTCCTGAGGGAGCACTTGGGTGTGAGGCCGTGTAGAGAAATCTCACGTTGAACGTGGGTCTGAGTTTAAATCAAGCCTCGTCTGATCGTTCTTCCAAAAGCAAGATGCAGGCCAGCCACATGGTGTCCCCGTCCCTGTCGTGGTGGACCCGGTCCTGGACGTCAGGGCAGCGGAGGCTCTGTGTGCACTTCTCACAGCCTGCCGGAAGTCTGCGCGAGGCCCCTGCGTTTTGGTCTGTTGACCCTCAGGAGTGTCTAGAATCTTCTGGTGGTGGTTTATCTGCTGCTGCTCTCTTCTGCGACCGGCACTCGAAGCTGCTGTTGGCTGAGCAGACGTCCCACCTAGTAGGGCATGTCTGGGAGGAACATGCCATGGGAGCAGGGCGAGGGACCGGGAGGAGGGGCCGGCCCACGGGAACAGATGTGGTCACGCTGGGGCGCTTTGCTCAGCGCCACCAGGGCTTTAGACAGGCCTCGTCCACACCGACTTCACGATTCCAGCAAATTTGGAGGACTGGTTGATGTCCCTGTGCCGGGAGGTTGGGAGCAGCTGCTTAGCAATAGGTGGAGACCCAGGCCCACTGGGCAGGCCGGACAGAAGACCTTGCACGGCCACCACAACATCCCTAAATGCCCATCACTGGGGACCTGTCGTGGGCCCGGCCCTGCGGGCGTGAGCAGGCGGGAAGCACGTTATTCAGCCTGTCGGTGCGTCCAGCAGCCAGCGAGCCCTGGCCGCGTGCCCCACTGCCTCTGCGTCTCAAGGAGACCGGTCGTATCAGCTTGCTTAATTTGAAGTCCGGTCTCCTTTTTAAAATGTACACGCTCTCCCCCATCATTGTGCCGTGGGGGCTCTCCGACACCTGGCAAGGTGGAAGGAATCAGACGGTGCACACCCCTAGCCGTGTCCATCCCGCGGCCCTCACCCGCTCCCCTGCCCTCCCAGCCTCCCACCGTCCGGCACATTTCAGAGTAAGGCACCGGCCTCTGCTGCTCCCTGTAAGCCCTTCAGCTGGCCAGTCGTTAACTGACCAGATTGCAGTATTTGTCTATATTTTTCTTTTCCCTTTTGGGGTAAAATTGGCATAAAACAAATACATGAGTGTTTGTGGTACTGCTTGAGTTTTGCCAATTGTATGCATCTTTGCAACCAGGCTCCCCATCAGGACTCGGGGCGACACCACCACGCGGCCACCCTGCCCCCGAGGCACCCACTGTTCCGGGGACCCCCACCCATTGGTTCTGCTCATTCCAGACGCCCAGGGGAGCCCTGTTCGTAAGGCGAGCTTCGGGCCCATCCGTGTGGGGTGTGCCAAGAAGTGCCCCCTCCATTGTGGGAACGTGTGACAGGCCACGGGTTCTTCTGTGGGTGGACGTCTGGGCTCTTCTTGGCTTTCGGCTGCTGGTACAAGGCTCGCGGGTGGACGTGGGGCGGTCCGGTCGAGGCAGGCGTGGTCCGTGCTACGAGAAACGTGCCAGCCTTGTGCCAGCGTGGCCGTTCGGCGGCAGCGCAGCCGGCAGACTGCGGGAGCGGGGGAGGCCCACATCCCTGCCAGCATCCGGTGCTGCTGGGGGCCCTCCGCCTGCAGGTCTCCGACAGCCGAGGGCGATCCCTTCGCGGGTGCTTACCGGCTCTTTGCTTCCCTTGAAATGTCTGCTCCGAACGTACCGATGACTTGGCTTTTATTTTATTTCATTCTCTTTTGAAGACTTCACTTTTTAGAGCAGTTGTAGGTTAAAAGAAAAGCGGTGCGGACCCCCCACCTCCCCCGACCCCCTGCCCACGCCGCAGCGGCGTCCTGGACGGCCCAGCAGGGCTGACGAGGGCTCGCCCGGCCTGTCCTGTGGTGTCCCTTATGGGTTTGACGGGAGCGGTGGGCGCCCATGCCCGTGGCATCACGTGGAGTGGCCTCAGTGCCCGGAAGTCAGTCCCCTCCCGCCCACCGGCAGCCCCTGACCTGCGCGCTGTACCCCGAGTGTTTCTGGAGCCTTCTGGCGCCTCTCGGTTTGGCGCGTCTCCCGTGTTGCCTGTGTGGACGCGGGTCTGTGCTCGCTCGCGTAGGACCGCTGCCCCCCGCTCCCGTGGACTCCTTTCCACACTTCGTGCTCGCTGCTCGTCCTGTGGCGACGCTCCCGCCGAAGCGCGTGCCTCCAGAGACCGGGACCCAGGGTGCCCTTTATTCAAGGACCTCAGAGGCCGTGGCGGGGTGTCTGGGGCCTGTTGGGACGCTGTGGCATCGGGGGCCTCTTTCTCCTGTGTTTGGGCCCAGGCGTCCCCCCCGACCCTGCCCTGGCTCTGATGCGGCGCATCGGACTCCTCTCGGTTACCTTCTCAAGGCCACAGCGCACTGGGGAGCGACAGGACGTTTGACCTCGCTTGACCAGCTGCCTTACGCAGGGGTGCGTGCCTTGTTGTGTGTCTGTGTGCGCACGTGGGTCCACCTGGGTTTCGAATCACTGAGGACATGATGCGGTTACTCTTTAATCATCTGCTGAGAGTGAGGACAGGTTCCATGCCAGAGGCCCCACAGCTGTCCCTCGAGCACCGGCACCACGGAGGTGCCCGCCCGCCACCAGGGCCCTCTGTGCCTGTGTCTGCCCCCCAGGAGCCACGAGTCGTGGGCCAGAGGCCCACGCGGCACCCAGCGGGCGCTCACTAGATGCTCAAGGGAGCAGTGAGTGTTGTCACGTGCTTCTGGACTGTGCCACTTGGGGCGTGAGGGGTGCTCTGCGAAGCAGCAAGTACTCCGGGGACGACGTGATGGGCTCTGCTGCCCCTCGCCCCGGGAGTGCTTGTCAGGGGTCTCTGGCAGGTTCTGCACAGCCCTGCTGCAGACACCTCCCTCCCTCCCCTGAGATCCAGGGCCGAGCCCAGGTTGGGGGGGCTGGGTCTGTGCCTCGGAAAGGTGGTCGGGTAACTGGAGCCCGTGGGCTTGGGCGCAGATGATCCTTGACTCCTGCTGCAGACATGCTCCTCGACCTCAGTGACCTGCTCCAGGTACATTGGCTTCCTTTCTGAGCCCCCTTCCCAAGGGAGGCTGCGACTGGGGCGTGCACCACACACCCAGGAGGCTGGTCCCCAGGCAGAGGACACGCCGGGCTGGGATCTGATGCAAGACCAGTGGGGGGAGTGGGGGGGTCGGGGGCAGTAAACATGGGGTCACAGTGCTGGCCTGGGCAGCCTCGGCCTCAGAACCAGTGGAAAGACCCAGGTGAACTTGGTCTGAGGGAAGGGAGGTTCTTTAGAAGAAAAAGAACTCTATCTTCAACAGTATAAGAATCCACCTTATAGCGTATTTAGGAACTCTGGGTACCAGGAAAGCGTTTTCTGTTCCATCTGTTGTTTCCGAGGTACTGAATAAAATGGAAGGGTACAGCAAGAGGGACACCTGTGTGGACGGGCATTCACCAGGGTGGGGCCATCGAAGCTCTGCACATGTCCCGTCCCTGCTGATGCGCTGGGGCAGGCACGGTGATCACTGCTGAGGACTTGGACAGGGCAGGGGTGTCCGGGAAAACAGACATGACCGCAGTGTGAGGGTGCGTGTGGGACTCACAGAGCTCCCGCCCCTCTGAGGAAGGCTTGGTCAGGTGCACGTGTGCACATGGGGCCTGTGGTGCTGGTGGCTGCAGGCCCCCCGCAGACAGAGCTAGACTAACAGGTAAAGCAGATGCTGCCTGCGTGCGTGGAATGTCAGGAGTCCTGCTCAAGTACTCTGTGGCCGGGCTCACAGTAATGTGCTGGGATTGTGGAAACCCGGCGCTCCACGTGTGGCGGCGTGTTGCCACCCTAGGACTTCCCGGGGAGCACGGAGTGAGGCTGGTGCGGGACCACCCACGGCTGACCCATGTTCACGATTCTGTTGTTGGTGTTCCTGCCGGGGTTTGGATCCGGGTGAGCTCTCCCGGGCAGGATGGGGTGGGGGGTCCCGTCACCCCATCAAGGCATGGCAGGCACAGGCGCACTCGGGCCGCCTTCACGCAGAGCCCGCCTGCCAATTGGACAGGAGCAGGAAGGCTGGCCGGCCACACCCAGCGGTGACCAGCCACTTCCGCAGGGACCGATCCTCACCGATCCTCAGAGTCCATGTCCCAGTTTCTGATGCCCGTAGACGGACGTCGGCATCTCTGGCAATCACGCCAGGTGCTGTAGCCAGCAGGCCGCTTAGCATTTCGACTTTTCACCTGAAGTCCCTTCAGAGAACCCTTTTCCTTAGCATCTAGGTCTTTGTGTGCTTGGGACACTGTCAGGGAGGTGGGTCGGGTGTGCGCAGCGGGCAGGGAACAGCACATTGCGGGGCACGTGAGTTCCACTCTGCTCCAGACGGGCATGAGGTCAGGAGGGTCAAGGTGCAGGAGCTTGGCAGGAGCCCAGCGAAGGCCGGGCGCTCCTAGAAGATGCACACCTGCACGTGTGTGGGCAGCCCAAGGGCAGAGTCCCTTTAGAAGCATGCTCCGTGAGCTGCCAGCCCGAGGACGGGGGCTTCACTCAGGAGGCCCTGAGCTGACGGGCCTCTGTTCCATTCTTTAGTGCTCTCTGATGGCCACAAGCCCCCATGTGTGCTGCCCAGACCCCCTGATGGGCGTGCCGCACGCCGAGGTCTTGGTTCTTCACACTCTTTTCTGGTGGCTTCTTGGGCTCAGGGTTAAGGAGCCCTCAACCAGGACTTCACAGGCCAGGCTTCACGAGGCAAAGGAGGTCTACGGGGAAGCCAGAGGCAGAGGGCCACACCCTCTGCAGCTCAGGCAGGAGGGGCTCAGCCCCGGCTTTTCCCAATTCTGCACCTCATCCAAGCCCCATGGCGTTTTCCATGGCTGCCGTCAAACACTGCTCAGAAGCCCCCTCCCCGTAGCACCGCAGCCTTGGTCAGCACAGGGCAGGCTCTTAGGACAGCCTCAGGCTCAGCAACAGAGGAGGTCTGCACCCTGGCCAGGCGCTGGACTCCACAGCCGATTTGGACTCGAAGTGGGAGCAGCCTGGGAGGTGGGGGAGTTCCTGAGATCTGCGGGGACCCATGGCCATGACTCAGCTGGTCCCTGGGGCCACAGATAAGGATCCCAGTCTGCGTGGGGCGGGGTGGCCAGTGGGCCCTGCATAGGCAGCTGCACACCACCCTGAATTACACACACTGAGCTCCGGGTGTCTACACTTGGTTAGCAAACCCAGTTATTGCTGAGACAGTGGCAGGGTCTGAAAAAGCTGCCTGCGATTGGGAAGCAGGGCCCTGGGCTGCTCTGAGGGGTGGGGGCAGGGGCGGTCCTGGAGCTTTTACGTTGCATCTGTCACACTGGACAGTGAATGAAATGCATCGTGAGGAAAAAAACCCAAACATCCCCTAAATTCAAATGCTGTTCTGTGTTGTGGCCTCTTCCTAACAGGTGAACGTTTACGTGCTGGGGAAGACGTTCCTTCTTCTGGCAAGAGAGCTCTGCATCAACGCGCCGGCGATAGGTATGCTGGGGCTGGCAGAGGGCAACAAGGTGCCCGGAGTGGGAGGGAGTCACGTGCAGGGGCCAGGGCCCCACCAGGTGGTAAGGAACGTCTGAGAAGTAGCCAAGACCCTGACAGTTTGGAGGTTACTCCTGGTTTAAAACAAGACTGCCCACGGTCTGTCCCCGGCAGGTGTGGAGGAGGACACGGAAGGAATACACCTGGTGGCAGGTGTCCCAGGGAAGGCAGGATCTCTGCACACAGAGTGGGGGTGTCGCTGGCCCGTTCCGTCTCCTCGGGAGCTTTACTGACAGGATTGTCTTCACAGTCCACTTGCAGGGGCTGCTCTCTGTTTTGCCCTTTACAAGTGTATTTCGTTTCAAGAAGGTGGAATGCAGGGCCAGGGAGGGTGGACCGGGGTTTAGTCCTGGATAACCCCCAGGGTGGTACCCTGGGGCTGAAAAGGCAGGGTCCGGCAGGATGGGGCGGGGTGGGGGGGTGCAGCTGCAGAGGTACACCAGGCTTGGGTGGTCTGCTCCCGGCCCAGACCCTGTCCAAGATGCCATTTCCTTGTCCCAAGTGACTCGGTCCCTCCCTCTGGGGGTCAAGCTAAGGGTTTTCAGAAGCAAAGCAACTGGCCCCAGAGCACACAGTCTGGGAAGACGGGCTCAAAGAGCCTGCGTTACCCTGAAGTACACCTGGGCAGGGGCTGTCTGGGGCCTGCCATGGAAGGTGCTGGCGAGCCTGAGGCAGGACATAGGTCCCCAGGGTCTGCAGCCTTGGGCCAGCAGAGAGCCCCACTTCACGCCACCACCCTCAAACCGGAGTCCAGTCCTACAGTAGGGCTTTGTCTCAGAGGTTGCGATGCATCACAAAGTATGACAGAAGCCGTCACCGGGCCTTTTCTAGAGCATTCTAGCGACAGACCCACAGCGGAAGCCAGCCTGCCAGCAGAGGGCAAGCTCAGGGACAGCCGACCTCCCCAGGGGGCAGTTTCTAACCAGGAAGCAGGGCTCAGCACTGGAGAGCTTTTTGTGTGCTGGAAGGAACACAGGGGAAGGCACCTGCCCCAGCCTCACGCTCCTTCCATCACTAATCTATCGGTAGCTCGTTTCACTGAAACTTTGTTATGAAAATCCAGGTAGACGTGCACTATTTTAGGTATTTTTTCCCAAATGTGGATTTGAAGGGAAGGTCTGGGCTAGGCGTCGTACCACTGTGAACTCATGAGGGTGGGATGGATGGCAAGGTCCCCAGAGCTAGCCCACGGTGTGGGCACCACTGGGAGGGGACCTGGATGAAGACTGCCTTGCGCCCCCAGATCTGCCCAGCAGCCAACACTCAGCACCCCAGGCTCTGGCTTTGCAGAGGAGCCTCTGGTTCCCAGCTCTGGGCTGCAGCTGACTAGTACGAGAGAAGTACAAAGTTGGCGAAGCCTTTAATGGGGTCAGGAAGGCAGCCAGCTGGGGGACGGGTAGCACAATCTCCTGCACGTCCCTTCCCGGCCGGACCAGCTGCAGAGAAAGGCTTTCTCCTGGTGCCCGGCAGAGGGCAGGGCGTCCACGCCAGCCCAGGGCCCCTCAGGCATAGAAGATGAGCTCGGGGATCTGCCCACCCTGGACCCCGGTCCCGTTGGTGCTGTCTGAGGAGCACTGGAACTGGAAGGTCACCTTCCCACACTGTACTTCCGTCATGCCTTCCTGCCCGAAATAGCTGAGCTCGCTGCCATCCAGGACGGCACTGGCTGTGTAGAAGGTGTCCTGCTCGACCTGCACGGGGTGTTCAAACCACACCGAGAAGGTGTTGCTGGAGCCGTCCGACACAAACTTGGTCAGGTTCTGAGCCAGGACCACCCCCAGCCTCTTGAGTTCAATCTTCACGCTGTACTCGGCTTTCCCGGAGCTGGACCCGTACAGGCCCAGCCCTGCAACAAACACCCTCCTGTCCACAGCAAACTGGATGCTGTCACAGCGCCCACGGTAGCGCCACTGGTTGCTGCGGTAGGCAGAAGACTGGAACCGGTGGCACCGCTGCGGGGCAAGGCCCTTCCTCTTGGTCAGGGGGAAGTTGAGGAGGGGCTTGTTGGCCGCCGTGTACCATAGGAAGATGTCGTGGGTCTCCTCCAGGGTCAGGATGTCTGACTGGGCTGCGCCGTTCGCAAACTCCTCCAGGGTCATGGTTGGAATTCGGACCAGATAGAGGGCCGGCCCCAAAACGTGCCTCTTGTTGCGTGGGGTGACCGGCAGGCCCTGCCTCTTGCACTCGGCTTCAGCCCAGTTCAGGACGGCCTCGAAGACCACGGCCTCCTTGGCGTTGAGGGCCTCCCGCGTCACGATGATTTCCAGAGTCTGCCAGTCGATTTCGCAGAAGCCTTCAGATCTCAGGGCCATCTCGGCCTGAGCGTCAATGACCTCCCAGCAGCGCTGGGTCAGCTCTGGCTCCTCAAACAGCCGGCTCTGGGACAGCAGGACACAGGCGTTCTTGGCTTCCAGGCTCGTCTCCAGGAAGGTGACACAGGCTTTTGCTAGCGCGGGGACAATGTACTTCTTGGCGGCGTAGAGAGTGGCCAGCACCGTGTCGGCCTCCAGGTCAATCTCGTCGCTGTACATGTACCTGGGCAGGGTGGGGACCGCGTCACAGGCTGCGTGGGCCCGGCCGCCGCCCCGCCCTGCCGCGGCCCTGCCCCGCGGCCCGCAGCATTCCCGCCTCCCCACCGGCGCCTCGGGCTGCACACGCACCTCAGCAGGATCAGGAAGGCCGCGGGCTCCACGTCGGGGATGTGGATCTCCGACTTGACTTCCGCCAGGTCGCCGTAGAACATGGCATAGAAGACGGAGCTACCCACGGCCAGGACGTACTGCGGGGAGACAGACAGAAGCTGCCCTGAGCCCCGCCCCGCGGAGGCCGGGGAGGGCCACCCCGGGGTGCCGGGCGGCTGGGCCGCGCCTCGGCTCACCTTGTGCGCGGGCACCCTGCGGGCCGCCCCCGGGGGCCCCACGATGAAGTGCACGTCGGCCATGAGCTCGTTGTTGAACATCAGCGCGTTCCTGCGAAGGGCAGAGGCGGGCTCGGGCTCGGGCTCGCGGGGGGCGCGGGGGGGGGGCAGGAGGGCGGGGGGGGGGCGGGGGCGCGGGGACGGGGGGGGCGCGGGGGCGCCGGGGGGCGCGGGGACCGGGGCGCCGCCCGGGCTCACCTCTCGCGCAGGGTCGGGTGGCAGGACTGCCAGTTGGGGCTCTCCAAGTTGTTGTTGTCGGGCGCGGGCGGCGCGGGCGCGGGCGGCGGCGGGGCGGGCGGCGGGGCGCTGGGCGGGCCCTTCCTGCCCGCGGCGGCGGCGGCGGCGGCGGCGGCGGCGGCGCTGGCGTTGCTGTTGGCGATGTCCGTGGCGGTGGCGGCGGCGGCCGCGGCGCCGGCGGCGGGGTACAGCTCCGCGGCCATCTTCGCGGGCAGGGCGGCCTCCGCGCGCGTCGGCGGCGCCCCGTGCACCCTCGCGCCGCGCCGGGGCCGGGGCCGGGGTCGGGGCCGGGGCCGGGGGGGCGGCTCGGCGAGCACCAGGAGCGCCGTGAGGCACTGCGCCACCCGGCCGTGCAGGCAGGCCAGGGGCAGCAGCATGGGGCCGCGGCGGGCGCTGCTGCCTCGGGCCGCCCCGCCCGCCCGCCCCGCCGCGCCCCGCCGGCGCGCAGCCCGAGCCCGAGCTGGAGCCCGAGCCCGAGCCCCAGCCGCAGCCGCAGCCGCAGCCCGCAGCGCGGCCGCAGGGGGCGCCGTCCGGCCCGCCCGAGCCCCTGCCGCCGCGGCGCCCGCACGTCACGCCCGTCACGGCCGGCCCCGCCCCCCGCGCGGGGGGGGGGGCGTGCGCGCTCCCGGGCCTGCGTCCCGCCACCCGCCCCTCCGCGACGGCGGCGTGCGCGCTCCCGGGCCTGCGTCCCGGCCCCGCCTCTCCGCCGGCGGGCTGGGGCGGGGCGGCAGGTGCGCAGGCGCGGGCGGGAGCGGGGGGCGCGCTGGCCCCGGCGCGGCGCTGTGGGGCGTCCAGGGCCCCCGCCCGGATGCGGGCACGCGCACGGCCCCTCGCAGGCCGGCCCCCGCTGGTGTCGCGGGGTCGCCCCCGCCCGCCGCGCCCTTCCCTGCCCTCTCCCGGGCCGTGTGTCCGGCGGCTCCGGGGCCTCGGAGAGCAGCGTCCTGCGCGGGGGCTGGGCCGGCGGGTCCCCCCACGGCGTCCACCCCGTGCCCCGCGCGCCCGCCCCGCCCCGCGGCCCCCGCGGCCCCTACTCCCTTGCGGTTGGGCTGTTGGTCGCCACTCGGCCCCCAAAAGACCTTTTTCCGGCGAAAAACACGCGCGTCTGCTATTACGGTTTTGGGCCGTTTCGCGAGGTGGAAGCCCGGGCCCCGGGGAATCCCTGGACACGGAGCTGTGCGCCTGGAAGCTGCTCGTGAGCGGCCGCCCCGCCCCGCCTGGGCCCGCCCCGCCTGGGCCCCCGCGCGGCCCCCACGGCCCTGGGGACCCGGAACGCCTCCGGGCGGCCGCTCGTCTCTGCTCCCTTCTGGGAACCAGGACGGGCAGCGGGTGGAAGGGCCCAGAGCGCAGCCAGGTGGGCCCCGAGCTGCGAGCTGCGAGCTGCGGGGAGGACACCGGTCCCGCGGCCCCTGCGGCTCACGGCCGACCCCGCCCGACGCTCTGCTGCGCCGTGCCCGAGGCTGCAGGCGCCCCTCCGCCTGGGCAGCCGGCTCCGGGAGGCCGGGCAGAGCGGGGCCGGGCAGAGCGGGGCGGGGCAGGCCGGGGCAGGCCGTGTGCGCGCGCCCCCTCGGGCCCCTCCGAGCCCCCCTGGCTGACAAACGGGGCCTGCAGGGAGGGCAGAGGGCGCAGCTCACGCGACACACTAGCAGGTGCAGCCACAGATGGTGGGAAGGCGCTCACCCCCCCCCCCCCGCGTGTCTACAGCCTGCGGCTGCTGTGCGGGCTCCGCACCCTGCCCCCGAGGCAGCTGTGGGACCGCCGAGGGTGGGCCACCCCCAGCCAGGGCCAGGCACGACTGGGAGGGGTCGCCCTGGCGGGCCGCTGTGCGCCATGTGCCCCCTGGGTCTGGAACACGCACGTCCCGTGGGGCCTGGTGAGGGGGGCGGCTCCTGCCCCAGGACTCGCACCAGGCCCCGCTGACGCAGCGTGTCTGCCGCAGACCCGTGCCTCTACATCCCCCGCTTTGCCCACCTGCTGGAGTTCGGTGAGAAGAACCACGAGGTGTCCATGACAGCCCTGAGGCTCTTGCAGAGGATGAAGAGGGATTGGATGCACACCGGCCGGCGGCCCTCGGGCCTCTGCGGAGCGGGTACGACGGCCCTGCGCCCACACCAGCCCCGCTGGCCGCAGGGTGGCTCCTGTCCTGACTTGGAGAGGCCAAGCGCGTGGGTGGGGGCGGGCGGTCTCCAGAGCTGACCTGGCCCCGGAGGACTCCCAGCTGCCCCCCACACTGACTCAGCCCCGGGGGGGGGGGGGGGGCAGGGCAGCACCCGTGGAGGCCGAGGCTGCGTCCAGGCCGCCCCCAGCGCCGAGTCCTCACTGCAGAGGGCGCCCCAGTCTTTCAGGCCGTCTCCTTAGCCCCCCAGAGGGCAGCTGCCCGGTCTCCCGTCTGAGCCCTCCCCCTGTGCCTGACACCCTGGGGTCTGACATAGCCCTGGGGCCTGGAGTCCGCCTGGCAGGCCCTGGCTCCTCTCTGGCGGCCCCGCCCCCAGCACCCCTGCCCCACTCCTTCCTGGAATGCCGAGGGTCTGCGTGCCTGCGCTCCTGCGCTCGGCCACCAGCAGGATCGTGTCCCCTCTCAGCCTGCGTTCCAGGCGCACGGCCAGCTCGGCCTCTCGTAGTCAGCCCACCCCCTTTGCTCTCTGACCTGGGCTGTGTCCCCACAACCCTTATCTCTGTGGACAACCACCAGGCTCCCCAGAGTTCACTCACTGACTTTGAGGGGGTGTGCAAGGTTCTCAGAGACGTGTTCTAACCCCCTTTTATTTGAGGAAGAATGTGTGGTGCAGCACCTCCTCCCTTTTTAAACCGTGGCGTAGTTGGATGGAAAGCAGCGTGTGGCTTTCGGGTGTTGGGACGGTCACATATACCACGTGACCGTTACCCGCGGTGAGGCCGGGGACTGGGCCGAGGCCCCCCCAGGCAGGGCTCTCACCGCCCCTGAGTACTGGGCTGCTGCTGCCTGTTCTGACTCTTGATTCCCCGTCGTGCTCCTCTCCAGCACTTCTGGTTGCAGCCAGGATGCACGATTTCCGGAGAACCGTCAAAGAGGTCATCAGCGTGGTCAAGGTGTGCGAGTCCACGCTGCGGAAGAGGTAGGTGGCGCTCGTTCCTGGCCTGGGGCTGCTCAGGGCCACCTCCTGGTCTGGGTCCAGCTCGGCGGGGGTCCTCGAGGGGCCTCCTGCCTCCCCTCCAGGGCGTCTTGGTCAGCCCTCCTGGTGCCACACCAGCTGCATCTGCCGTGGGGACACTTCCACCCCGAGTTTCTCTCTAAAATAGGTTGGGGTGGGCTGAGAGCCGACTGGCTGGTCGGGGAAGCCAGGCTCAGATGAGGGCCACCATGCCATGGGAGCAGGGGCTCACGGGCTCTGCTTTGGGATGCAGCGCTCGTGGAGCGGCACAGCTCAGCTCCAGCATGAGCTGCACGTGGGCTGTGACTGGAGAGTCACCAGCTCGACCGCAGGCAGCCCTTCGCTGTAGCTGTTTACACCACGAATCTGGAACATTTGATGGCTGTTTTTCGACTGAGGTCGTATCCCGCGGCAGTTTCCAAAGGCAGATTAAAAGGAAGTGTTTCACTCGTTTGATTTTTAAATTTATTTAAAATTTTTTAATTAAAATTTTAAAAAAATCAAATATTTTATTTATTTACTTATGAAAGGCAGAGAGAGAGAGAGAGAGAGAGAGGGGCAGAGACACAGGCAGAGAGAGAAGCAGGCTCCATGCAGGGAGCCCAACGCGGGACTCGATCCCGGGTCTCCAGGACCACACCCCAGGCTGAAGGCAGCACCAAACCGCTGAGCCACCCAGGCTGCCCCAAAATAAAAAGTTTTAGATGTTTTATAGGTCACATAAGACGTAGGTAATTTGTAGTCAGTGACCACCTAGGGCCTCCTTCCTTCTGGGCCTTCTCTGAGTCTCCCCGTGGGAGCGACGGGCGTGCGTGGCCTTTCCTCCCTGGGGCCTGGTGCTCGTAGCTGAGCGTGGCTGGGGTGCTGGGCTGGCTCTCTCCAAGGGCCCTGGGCCCCCTGCAACATCTCTTGTTCCAGGCTGACGGAGTTTGAAGACACACCCACGAGCCAGCTGACCGTGGACGAGTTCATGAGGATCGACCTGGAGGGGGAGTGTGACCCCCCTTCGTACACAGCCGGGCAGCGGAAGCTGCGCATGAAGCAGGTGAGCCCCCCGCCGGCCTGGCCCTGCCTTGCCCGTGTAGCCCGAGAGTATCTAGCAGCATTTTCTAGATCTCATGTTTCACGTTCTTATTTTGAAATAAGTGGCTCAGTTGCAAAGGCTAGACTGGGTCTGCGTCTACATGGCTTGCAGGGAGAGGTGGACAGACAGATGGTGGGGTGAGGCGCTGAGGGGTGCAGGAGGGGCACCGCTGCTGCCCACTAGGGGTGGCACACGGAGCGCCGGGTCTCGAGATGGTCCTCCCGCCTTCCCCGCAGCCGTTAGGGTCTGTGCCAGGCTCAGCCTTGGGTGCCTCGGGCACGGTGCCTTGGGCAAGTGCTGCCTTGCTGTGGGGCCCAGTTGTTAAGACTTATGTGGACGGCTGGGGACCCTGGGCCGCCGCATGTGGAGGGCCTCTGGGCACCCCGGAGGGGGCTGCTTCCCCGGCTGGTCTCCTCGTTTCTTTGCTGAACGTTCTCATTGCTTTGTTTCAGCTTGAACAAGTTCTGTCCAAGAAACTGGAGGAAGTCGAAGGTAACCAAGCGATCTTACGTTACAGACGCCGTCTCCTCCGAGAAGCGGGGTTTGTGCTTACTGTGTGCTTTTGTCACGTCAGGTGAGATATCCAGCTACCAGGATGCCATCGAGATCGAGCTGGAGAACAGCCGGCCGAAGGCGAAGGGCGCCCTCGCCACCCTGACTCGGGACGGTGAGTCCAGCCGCGACCCACACGGCCTCGAGGGGCCAGCCCCGCCCACTTCACCCCTGCCAGGCACAGGTGCAGGTACAGACCCTGTCTGTAGCCACAGGGTCCTACTTCACAGGGTCCCGCTTACTGCCCCGGCCGTTGGCCGCCTCCCGCTGTGACTTGCTATGCTGAATGTCTGGGGGCTCCCCCAGGTTCCAGGCCTTGGAGGGAAGCTGCTCCTCAGCACCTGGATCCTCCTTCCAGACTGTTACGCCCCCTCCCACCAGAATCCCTTCCTGCCGCCATTGCTTGCGACCTCCTCGGCCACCCTGGGGCTTCCTTCCCCACGTCACGGCTCCCCTGCACCTCTGTTTCCTACTGGGGCGTTGCGAAGCTGCGGTGTGTGTTCTTGGGTGGATCCTTCTGCGCACACGTGGTCTTTCTCTGCTGGACGCTGGCGCATCGCCATCCTACCCAGTCCTCTGGGGCTGTAGGTCTGCAGCTGGGCCCTGTTGCACGGCCTGTCTGTTGACCAGGACCAGGTGCTGAGTAGGCGCTGGAGCCAACGCTTCTCACCCACGCCTCAGATGGTCTGAGAGTAGCATCTCCGCCCCTTCTCTAGCCCAGGGTCTGCCACCGATCGTATTTCCTCGCACGATCTGAGGCGCCTCTTGCCCGCCTGCCCCAGCCCAGTGCCCTGTCGACTCCCTCCCGAGAGCGGGCGTCTCTGCGCCAGGCCACCCCCCTCCACTGCTGCCGTGAGCGGCGTCCTTCCCCTGGTTTCCAGGTGCTGCTCCTGTGCACTCGTGTGTCGGGAATTGTGTTTGGGCTCCTGGTACTGTGCTCTTGCTCACTGGGTTTTCCACGTGAGTGTGTGTTCTACAGAGAGGGCTGCCTTGTGCTTGTCACTGACGTTCGGGCCCCTGATGTCTCCTGCCACCAAGGCCAGGGCCCGGCCCTTCAGCGCCCTGCTGAGTTGCAGTGGTGGCGGCGGGCACATGGCCTGGCTGCCTGCGGGGCCTGGGTGCCGCCCAGGACACAGTGCAGGCTTTGGGCTGAGACGTCCTGGGAAGGACGTGCCCACCCACTGTCCTCCCTGGGTGTTGTGTCGGCTGTCGTTGAGCGTCTCTAACGTCTGGAGGGCTCGTGGAGAGAACATGGGGTTTTCTGGGCGTGGTGAGTGCAACCTGGCATCGGGCTGCCCTGTCCGGGCCCCACAGCAGACTTGGGCAGTCACGCGTCTCAGGATGCGTTTGATTTTGTGCCTCCCACAGATGTGTCCTTTTTCCACCTTTCTCCCCATGCCTGGGTTTTCCGGTTTTTGTAGCTAGTTAGAGATTTCCCGTGAGTGCCGTGTGCGTCGGTCGTAGATCGTGCTGCCTCCCGTGTGCTGAGTCAGCGACTCCTGCTTCTCCCTCTGCGCGCCTTCAGCCTCGCCGTATCCTGACCTCTGGGGTCACGGCTTGACGGATGTACTCTGGGGCTCCACGCGGCACGTGTGCCGGGCACCCCGAGCCTCGTCGGAGCCTCTGGGGCACTGAGTCTTGGCTGGCGTTTCTCTTTGGTTTTTTTGTTTGTTTGTTTGTTTTTAAGTATTATTTATTTATTTATTCATAGAGACACAGAGAGAGAGAGAGGCAGAGACACAGGCAGAGGGAGAACCAGGCTCCCTGCAGAGAGCCTGACGTGGGACTCGATCCTGGGTCTCCAGGATCACGCCCTGGGCTGCAGGCGGCGCTAAACCACTGCGCAACCGGGGCTGCCTTGGCGTTTCTCTTTGATGGTAAAGTTTACGTGAGGGGTTTACAGCCCCAGGGGGATGCCTTTGGTTTTCGGGTCTTGGTATAAATGTCCATGTTCATCAGTGTGCCCGGGGGTGTCACGGGCACTGTCCTCCGTGCCGTCTCCTGTGCGATTGTGCTTGGAGATGCCCACGGGACTGTGTGTCCCCCGGGGCGTCACCAGCTCTTCTGGTCCTCGTGCGCTCGCCTGCTAACCCCTTGAGGACGGAGGTGGCCAGTGTCAGCCTGTCCCCACTGTGACCCCCACAGCCCCCGTTTGCTGGTGGTGGGCGTGGGTGGTGTCACGCTCCGGGTGACATGGGAGGCCCTCCGCAGGTGTGCGTGTGCAGCTCTGCTCCCCGCCCCGGCCCTTCCCCCGGGCCTTCCTCTTCTGTATGGCACACACTTGGGTGCTGCCTTGTGAGCCGCCCCGCGGCTTTTCTCCTCTAGCGCTTGGGGCTCGTTCACATGTGGCCGAGTGACTTGTCGCGTGGTGTTCTCTGGACCCTGGGGAGGTCTGGCTTTGTGCCGTGGTTTTCTTCGTGCCATTTCTTAAGCAACACCTACCTGCATGCCCTGCCCCGGCCGTGAGGGAGCTCCCCACCTCCTGCCCCCTCTCAGCTTCTCACATGTGTTCCCCCAACAAGACCGTCGGGACACGTCCCTCTTCCTTGCTCCCCACAGTCTGGTTATCCAGACCATTTCTGTGTCATTGGGATGGCAGACGTGTCATCCCCTCTGTCTGGCCCGGGCCCAAAAGTAGGTGGGGTCGTCCAGCCCCCTTGGTCACAGGAGGCTGCCTGGCGAGGCCTCAGCTCCCGTGTTCCCTTGGCTCAGTGTGCCGTGCCGCCACGTGGTGTGCCGGGGAGGTGCAGGCAGCAGGGCTGGCCTCCTGCCGCCAGCCTCGCTGCGGGGACCTGAGGTGACACACAGTTCTGACGGCGAGGGCAGGCGGTTATTGGGAAGTGAGGGCGCCTGGAGGTGAATGAGGGGGCCTGGTGCTCGCGTGGGGTATGGTGGGTGTGGGGGGGTCCCGGGCGGGGGCAGGGGCGGGGGGAACAGCGCAGTCTGAGTCTGGTTGAAGGGGAGAGTTGACACGGGAGTGGGAGCCACCTGGGAGCAGTGAGGCCAGCGGGGAGGCCTCCAGGGCCCTGCCGGCGGGACGTGGCTGTGGATGCCCAGGGTGCGTGGCAGCTGAGGCCCGGGCCTGGCTCTCAGGCGGGGGTGCCCACACGTCCGGCGGAGGTGCAGCAGATGCATCAGGAAGGGCCGTCACTCCCACGATTTCTCTGCTCTCAGGGAATCGAATGGTTTCCCGTCCCCAGAGAAACATTTATCGTGACGTGTTTTCCTCACGTGAGTCTCGGTTCTTACCCAACTTTTAAGTATCGTGCGTTGGAAAAGTAGAGTAGGGTGTTCTGAGGTGTGCTTTTTTTTTTTCTTTTTTAAGATTTTTATTTAATTTATTCATGAGACACACAGAGAGTGGCAGAGACACAGGCAGAGGGAGAAGCAGGCTCCATGCAGGGAGCCCCACGTGGGGCTCGATCCCCAGGCAGGGATCACGCCGTGGGCTGAAGGCCGCCCTCAACCACTGAGCCGCCCAGGCGGCCCTGAGTGGGGGGCCGTCCAAACGTTAAAAATCAAAACGTTAAAATTCAAACGTTAAGAAATAAAAAAAAATAAAAACCGAACACTCATAGGTGACATTTTAGCAAATCCCGTGGAGGAGTAATCCACGTACGACGAACTATGAACCTGAAACGCAGCCCGGGGGTCCCTGGGTGGCTCGGGCGCTGAACGTGGGCTTCCGCTCAGGCTGTGCTCCCAGGGCCCTGGGATGGAGCCCTGTGTCGGCCCCTGCTCCGCGGGGAGTCTGCTGCTCCCTGCCCTGCCCCCGCGCTGTGCTGTGCGTGCGCTCTCTCTCTGCCTTTCTCAAATACGTGAATAAAACCTTTAAAAATGAAAAAATAAACTGCAGTCTTTGGTAAGTGTTGACAAACGCGCACACCACAAAACCGTTGCGGTGGCTGGGATTGCGAACGTGCGCACCCCGGCACCCCCGGGTCTCTGTCACCCCGCCCGGCTGCCAGCTGCCACCAGGGTCTCACATCTGTGGTGTGTCCTGGTTCCCCTTCGGCTCCTCTGCTCCGTGTGACTACGCGGGCCCGCGTGCACAGCTCCCCGTCTCTGGTGCCCTGAAGTCACCAGGTGTCGGGTCCAGCCGGGGCTGAAGGAACATTTGTGCGCAAGCGTCTGTGTGGACGTTTACCTGCTTCTGTCCTGGACAAGCACCGAGCTGCTCGGGTTGGCAGCCCGGCATGTGCCCCGGCCTTGGAGGAGCCACCCAGTGTCCCCTGACGTGGCTGTGGCCGCAGCCGCGCGTGTCCCCCCACTGGAGCAGGGGCTGCTCCCTGGCCCGCCGCTCCCGGCCCGGGGGGAGGGTGGCGCCCAGGGTGGCACAAGTCCCCGTGTAGGCCTTTCGCCCGCGTTCGGTCGAGGCGTGTGTTTTCCTGTTACAGAGCTTTGAGGGTTCTCTGCGGCTGCAGACACAGACGCTCACAGGAGGGCAGAGCCCGAGGGGCAGCAGTCCTGCTCGGGGGTGTTTCGTGGGTTGCTGCCGGCATCCCATCTGGGAAACTCGGCCTGATTCAAAGCCACAAACATTTTCTCCCTTTTTTTCTTAAAGCTTTTATGCTCTTAGCTCTTATTTTTATTTAGATTCAGTTTTTTTGCAGCATGAGGTGTAGGCCAAGGGCTCCTCGTGTGCACGTGGACATCGGGCAGCTGTGACAAGGTGCGACTCGGCTCCTAAGTTGGTGTCATAAATGCCTTTTGCAGCTGGACGGCCGTGTTTCTCTGCACAAAGGTGGGGCTCCCTGGCTTTCTGCCTGGTTCACAGGGTGTGTCAAATTGTATCTGTAGGCTCTGTCGAGGACACCACGTCCAGCTTATTTGGTGAGGAGGACCCCGAGGACGAGGAGCTGGAGGCTGTGGCCAGCCACCTGAACAAGGACTTTTACCAGGAGCTCCTTGGTGACAGCATTTCCAGCAGCTCTGAGGTGGCAGGAGGCGCCGAGGGTGGCAGCAGGCCCCCTGCCCTGGAGTCCCTGCTGGGGCCCCTGCCCACTGCAGCCAGCCTGGGCATCTCAGACTCCATTCGAGAGTGTATCTCCTCCCAGAGCCAGGACCCCAGTGAGTGCCTGGGAGCCCCGGGGAGGGGTGGGGCTGGGGAGGGGGTGCTCCTCTGGGTGGGTGGGGTGAGGCTGTGGCCGGCAGACCCCAGGTCCGGGTCACCCCTCCGCCTCCGTGGGAGGTGGAGGTGGAGGGCTGTGTGAGCCATCGTTGACCCCAGCGTGTGCTGACACCCCGAATACCAGCAGGGCTTGTCACCGCCTCCAGAACCCTCCTGCACGGGCCCAGGTCCCGGCCAGAGCCCGTGCTTGATTGGGTTGTGGCTGCCGCTCCCTCCTGTCTGTGTGTGAAGCCTGGGGCCAGCGTCTTCTCAGGGGACGGGGACTGGTTTCCCTCCAGCGTCTGCGTGAGCTGGAGGGCCAGTGCTGAGTGAGGGCGCAGTCCCCATGCTTGGCCCGACGTCCCCTGGCCCCCGCGCTGCCGGTGCTGAGCCGCCTGGGCAGGAGTGGCGCTGGCAGCTCTGGGAGGAAGGCCAGTTTGGCTCTGCTACCGTGTACTCCCAAGAGCAGGCTCTGGCCCTCTGCTAGGACAGGCTCCCCCAGGCCCCCCGGGCTGCAGACCTCTCCTGCCTGGTCTCCGGGCGCCTGGGACTTGGCCTCTGTCTGCTGGGAGCCTCTAGAGGGGTGCGGCTCAGACATTTATCACGTGCCTCTGGGCAGGCATGGTGGTGGCAGCTGTGCGCCTGCCCTGATGGCAGTGGCGTCTAGGGTGACTGACGGGGGGCGTCTAGTACAGACCGAGCTGTACTTAGGAGGCAGGAAGAGACCATTCTTGCGGGAGCTGAGGGAGGAGGCAGTGAGGCAGAGCAGGGAGGGGCATGAGCCGTGTGCCCGAGCGCCAGGGAGCCTGCAGAGCCGCAGTGTGCGGGAGAGCGTCCCAGCTGGCCCACGGGCTGTGGGTGGAGTTGGGCGGGCTCCGCAGAGGACCGCCTGGTGGTCAGGGGCCGCCAACAGCCGGGGCTGCCCCGGTTCCCGGGCTGAGCAGATCTCGCTGTTGACCCGGCTGGGGCAGGAGGAGGGTGGGTGGGGGTTTGATGATGTCCCAAGCGCATCGCCGAGGGCTCCCTGAGGGCCCTGTCCTGGGCCGGTGGGTGGAGAGCCAGATGACCCGCTCTCCCGCTCTGTAGGTGCTCCTGTCGTCGGGAGCCCAGAGGCCTGGTGGGGCTGCCTTGCCCGTGGCTCTGGTTTAGCCTCCTCCTTGCATGGAGCCCTGGGGTGTGAGCCACACACTGTGCGCACAGAGCGGGGACAAGGGGGCTTCCACGAGCCCTCGGCCCAAGCCCCCAAGACGGCCTAGAGGGTGTGTACACTTGTGCACCAGAGCTTGACCCCAAATGACACTGGTGCTGTGCTTCCCTTTAGCGGACCCGTGTGGGGACGGCGAGCTGGACCTCAGTGGCATCGATGACTTGGAGATTGACAGGGTGAGCATCCACACGCACTGAGCGCCCTGTCGGGAGCCCAAGGCTGCTGCGGACGTTCGTGCCCATGGGGCTGTGCTGGCTGTGCCGGCCCTGCCGGCCCTGCCCACACTGGTCCCCACAGGCTCGCAGTTGCTCAGCCAGCAGCCCTGGCCTCCCCAGGCAGGCAGGGCATCCCCCGTAGTGCCCCACATGGCCCCCGGGTCCCACGTCCCCGCATCTGGTCCGGCCTGGCCCCGGTGCCCGCATGCTGGTGTGGGGACACAGGCCCCTGCTGCTGGCCGTGTGCAGGCTGGAGGATGACAGGTGTCCTGCTTGGCTCCTGGTGGTGGGCCCGGGGTCCCGTGGGTCCGAGGCCACCCTTGACTGGCTTGTGCGGGTGGGGGCGCCCTGCTGGCTGAGACCTGAGTGTGCTGCTCTGCCCAGTACATCCTGAACGAGGCGGAAGCCCGCGTGAAGGCCGAGCTGTGGATGCGGGAGAATGCGGAGTACCTGCGGGAGCAGAGGGGTAAGTGCCTGCCCCCCGCCGGGGAGCCCAGGCCCCGGGGCCCACGCTCATCCTGCCATGTGTGGACTTTACAGAGAAAGAAGCAAGAATAGCGAAGGAGAAGGAGCTCGGCATCTACAAGGAGCACAAGGTAGGGCTCGCTCGCGTGTTGCGGGCCGGCCTGGGCCTCCAGTGGCGCGAGGGCTCCCAGGGTGGCAGCCTGGGACAGAGGAGGCCGGCCCCCCTCGGACAGATGCCGCCTCTGGGTCCCGGGAAAGCCTGCTTGTCTCGTGGTCAGTCCTGCTGGGGTCAGTCGTGGCTCCGCGGCTGCGCCGAGCAAGAGCGGCAAGAGTCGGGCACACCCCAGCCAGGTCTCTGCTCCACTCGAACCTTTCTGGCAGGGAGTCAAGGAGACCAGAGGCGGGCGTGGAGCTTGGGGTCGGGCCTTGGGACCCTTAACCACGTGGCAGGAAGGCTGGCGGGCAGGGGAGGGGGAGGTGGTGCGGGGCCCTGCACACCTCAGCTCCTTGGGTGGGGTCCCCAGCAGACTCTTATTGTCCAGCCCCCCCTCCCTGGTAGCCAGCTGTCTGTTCCCCAAATCCCACACAGCTCCTAGCGGATTTGCAGGCTTTGAGATCCCGCAGGGGTCGGTAACTCTCCTGTTTCCTTTGAGCCCAAGAAGTCTTGCAAGCGACGGGAGCCGATCCAGGCCAGCACGGCCGGGGAGGCCATTGAGAAGATGTTAGAGCAGAAGAAAATCTCCAGCAAGATCAACTACAGCGTGCTCAGGGATCTCAACAGCAAGGGCGGGGGCAGCGTGCCGGGGGAGGACACGAGGGCCGAGGAGCGCGCCAGCGCCCGGAAGCTGTCTCGGAGGAAGACACCTGCCAGCAGGAGCGGGGCTGACCCCGTGACCAGCGTGGGGAAGAGGTACTGCGCCAGGCGGGCCGGGTGTTGGGCCCGGGCAGGGGCGGGACGCCTGGGGGTGCTCTCACCACCCGAACGCTGGGAACGAACGTCTGGGGGCTGAGGAGGGGGCTCCTACCCCGGAAGGGGTCCTGAGGCCGCGGAGCGTGTTCCGCCTCAAGGCGCTCCCGAGGCAGCCTGTTCTCCTGGGAGGGGCCGTCCGTGCAGCCCTCCCCTGGCTGCGCACTGCTGCCTCTGCCGGGAAGGAAGAGCAGGGAGAGAGCCAAGAGCAGACTGCGCCCCTGGGGGCGGGGGAGGGTGGTGACAGATCAGGGCAGAAGCCACGGCCCGCGCTGTGGTCCCGAGGGTCCTGGCCATGCCGAGCTGGCCCTGGAGGTCGTGCACCTGGTGCAAAGGTGCCCCGGCCGGCCTGGGAGCTCGCGGGCTGCCCAGAGGGTATAGGTCTGTAGCAGTTTAATGCTGGTTCATCTGAGAAGCAGAAATATTCTAGTTTGCTTTATTTCCTCGTAACTCAGAGTAAATGTTTTCCAAGATTTTTGTGATGCTTCTTTTTTAAGATTTATTTAAGTCACATCTACACCTGATGTGGGGCTCGAACTCACGGCCCCTGAGTCATGCTCTCCCACCTGAGGCAGTCGGGTGCCCCTCGGAACACTTTTTATGACTTGATCCTTCTGTTCCCTCGATCCGCAAGTGCCCGGCACAGCCTGTCACTATCCAGCGTCCTGTGTTCCCTTCTGATTGTGGTCGGGGGCAGCGCACCCCCAGCCTATGCACACCCCCAGCGCATCTCCCGCCTATCGGTGGACCCTCAGACCATGAGAGACTCTCGGGGGACCCTGAGTCCTTGGGGGCTTTGCGTCCAACCCCCCAGGGTCTCCTTCCTCTCAGGCTGCCCTTTGGAGAGGGGGCGCACCACCCCCTTGCTGGGGCCCAGTCACCCTGTTCACGGTGCAGAGGGGCTGCCCAGAGCTGCGGCCCTGCCCTTGGCTGCCTGTGGACGGACAAGCCCGTCTCAGGGGTCTGCTGTGCTCCACCACTGCTAGTATGTCTACCCTCCAGGCGCTGGTAGGGTGAGCAGGCCGGGGGCCAGGGGGAGGGGCATGCTTTCCACACTCTCATTGGCCCCCGGGGGGGGGCTGCTGACAGCTGCCGGGGCTGCTTGCAAGGGACCAGGGGGTGGCCGGCGTCAGGCCCAGACCCCCACCTCCGTGCTGGCTGCCACACACGCCACTGACCACCATGAGGCCTCTCCAGCCGGTGGACGGACGGGCCAGCTTCCCACCTTCTGGCTCCAGTGGCTCTGGTCTCTGTTGGGCCTCAGGTGGTTGCTGCTGTGGCGTGAGCCTCCCACGGGAGCGCCTGTCCACCTGCTGCAAGCTGTTACAGCATCCATTCCCAGGGTCCCCGGGGCTTCTTGGCATGTCAGTCATGTGAGATCCTCCGGGATGCCTCCCCCACCAGAGGCCCTGGGGCAGGGTCCCTGAGCCTGGATGGCTTCTGTGGCCAGGGCGTAGGAGGGGGGGGTCTCAGGGGGGGTCCCACTGTCCCCCTGGACAGGCCAGCATCATCCGAGGAACGTTGGTAGGTGGCCCTTGCTCCTCTGTTCCTTGCGAGTGACGGTGTGGAAGGTGATCTGGCTTCTGTGTCTGGAGGAGGGACAGTAGAGCCGCCGTGTCACACTCGTCTTCCAGCCATAGGGATGATCAGGGCCAGGGATGGCCCAACGGGAGGCGTCTCCCACCGCAGCCATTGTCCGCGGTCCCCACTCGTTCTTCCTGAAGCAAACCACCCAGAACCCTGACCAGGAACAGCTGGGCAGACCGCCTGGAGAGCCCGCAAAGCAGTGCAATTTTAGGTTACCTTTAGAGAGAGAGGGAAAGGGAACGGGGGTGTGCACACAGGTGTGAGCAGGGGTAAGGAGAGGGGTGGGGAAGACTCAGGGCTCCATCCCACGGCACCCAGCCAACTGCCCCCAGGTACCCCCAGGCGCCCCTCCCTGATTTTAGGTTTTTATTCGTCAAATGACAAGCACGCATCAGACCTGCCTGGGGCTGTCTCCCGTTGGTCTGCATAGTGTTTAAGGTGAAATTTGGATTTGTTGGCAACATTAAAAAGTTTTCAGAGAAAAATCCTGATTTCTGGCTTCTGGCACCTGCCCCCCATCCACCCCCATTCCCAGCACTGCGTGTGCCCCCATGACTCGGGGCCAGCTGCGGTCACTCATGCAGGTCTGTATCGTGTGGACGCGTGACCGTTTGAAACACAGGTTAGAGCCGTGTGTTCACGGAGGATAAGCTCTGGCCCAGCAGGCACAGGTGGATGCGAATGATAGGGGGGCGGAAGAGCTGTTGGTGACCCAGAAAAGGCAGGAGGAGGACAGAGGACAGAGGGGATGGGGACGAGTCACGAGCATGAGGCCTGCTGGGACGAGGGACATCAGAGGGAGCCCTGGGGAGGGGGTCGGGGAGGTGGTCAGGGCCACGGGTGCTGCGTCTGGGGGCAGGAGTCGGGGGGGCTGAGCCCTCGCAGTGCATCCTGTACACGGAAGAGTGGCCAGTGCCACCGCCTGAGGCCGCGCCTCTCGGCAGGGCGCCCCGTCCCCCGACCGCTGGCCACGGCCTGGACTGAGGCCGCTATGCTGTGCTTGCTTCCAGGTTGAGGCTGATGGTGTCTGCGCAGCCAGCCAAGAAAGCGGCAGTGGGAGAGGTACGTTGTGTGGCCACCGCTGAGTCACCACGTCTGCGAGCAGCTGAGCAGTCCGGCTGTGGCGGGAGGGAGCGCGGGCCATGGCGTCTGCCGGGTGCCGTGCCGTGCCGTGCCCGGGCGGCCTGCCCACAGGGCGAGGCCGCGGCAGACCGCAGGCTTTCTGGGCGCTCCCGGGAGTGCTCGGGCTCAAGGGAGGGGCTGCTTGAGGGGTCAGGGGCTCCGCAGGTGGGAGCGTCCAGGGGACGGCAGGGCCAGTCGGGCTGCGGCGGTGGGTCCTGTGCCCCAGGGCCGGCGCCTCCCAGAGCCTCTGCTCCTTGGTTGCAGACGGTGCTCCCGAGCCCGCCCGCCCTGGGAGCCGAGGCTGTCAGGCCCGCAGCAGTGGTGGAGAGCGGCCCGGTGTCGTACCACCCCGAGGAGGACCCCGACGACGAGGACCCCGATGAGGAGGATGGGGAGCCCTGTGTCAGCGCCCTGCAGATGATGGGCAGCAACGGTGAGGGGGTGACGGGCACTGGGTGGGGCGGAGTGGGGTGCTTCAGAGGAGAAGGCACAGGCCCTCGGCCGCACCCAGGCCTCTCGGCTTCGGGACAGAGACCCTGGGAGGTCGGCTGTGTCCGTTTTGAGGCCCTCGAGTGCCGGAAGCTGCTGGCCAGGCCCTGCGTGTGCTGAAGGCGCCACGACGGCGGGGGGGCCAGGTGTGCAGCGCCCCAGGGCGTCCACAGTTACCCTCTGTGCCTCTGCAGATTACGGCTGTGACGGTGAGGAGGACGATGGGTACTGAGCCGCGGCCCCGCAGCCGGTGACGTCTGGCCGTGGGCCCTGCTGTGTCTGGTGGGGATCAGATGGGGCCTCAGGTGGCCCGCCTGCCCCGCAGCCCTCGCCGCAGCCACTCCACGCCTCCGTGGCACTTGCTGCCAGGACCACGTCTGGAGCACCGTAAGGCGCTGGACCAGTGTCTGTGCGTCCGGCCGGACGTGGGGCTTACAGCCCAGGGACGCTCACAGGAGGCTCGGTCCAGTCCCCTGGACGGACCCTGAGGCACGAGGAGGCCCGCTCTTGGAAGTGAGTGTGGGCCGGGGGGCTGTGGTACCCCGCTGTCCGCCCTTACGGGGCCAGGCGCCTGGGCGCCCACCCCTCCGCAGGGCTGAGGAACGCTGCACCCACTCCCCCCCACCCCGCTGCTGCGTCTTCAGCCAGACCCCGGACTCTCCTGCGCCTGGCCCCAGCGTAGCCAGCCAGCGAACTGAGTCAGCAGCACTGCTCAGCAGACGTGGGACAGTGGGCTCCACTGCGCCCAGGTGCACAGCCGCCCTGGGTGGTGCCCTGCGCCGCCGTGTGGCCGGCCTGGATGTCGGGCTGGCCCTGCTGCACGGAGCCGGAGCCAGGCGGAGCGGGAGGTGCTTCTTGTTCGAGCCGGAGCCTGGCCCAGTGTCCACAGGGGCACAGCAGGCAGAGGGTCCTCAAGCCCAGCTACTCTTCTGGTTGGTTCCTGCCACCCTCAGCTGCCCCTCGGGGCCAGGCCTCATCTCTGAAGGCTCAGGGACCACTTTCCAGGTCTCAGCGTGGGCATCATTGCTCTGGACACGGCCAGGGAGGCAGGGCAGATGCTCGTGGCCCTCGAGACGCCATCCGTGGTCACCCCACCCCCTACAGTGGCAGAGCCAGGCCATACTGCGTTCCCAGGGCCCAGCCCTCCGTCTCCGGGGTGGGCCAGGACCCTCCCAGAGTGCAGCAGAGTCTGCAGGTAGGGGATTTTCAGGTCCTTGGCTGCACCTGCCTGGACCCTGGGGCCCCTAGAAGGCTGGACAGGAGAGTGGGTTTAGTGAAATAGAAAGATCCATCACTTGAGCAGAAACCCGGTGAGGCTGTGGCGTGTGCTTCCCCGTCTGGTTCCGAGGCCTGCTCTGGAGGAGTGAGGCCATGCGGCTGCCCGGCCAGCAGGGGCGGGGCAGGCACACAGCAGGCAGGCTGGCCCACACGCCTGGCCTGTCGTCAGACGTGCGAGGTCTGTCCCTGGCGTGGGCTCTCCTGGCCGGGGCCTCTCTGGGGTGTTCTCCGTGCCAGTCAGGGAGCGGAGCGTGGGCCGCCCAGCCAGGGACGATGGGCCCGCGGGACCTCCGGGTGGAGGTGTGGCAGTGGCTCCAGACGTGGTGGAGTCGCCTTCTGGGACGCGGGGCTGTGTGTGTGCACGGCAGGACACCTCCACTGGGAGCTTGGGTAAGAGGAGGTTTCTGGGTGGAGGACACAGGGGGTGTGCGGTCCTGCAGCTGCTCCCTGCAGGAGCTGAGCCTGCAAGGCAGGGGAGGGCGGGGATCCTGTAGGGGGTGTGCAGCGGGGGAGGGCACGGGGGGCTGAGGCCCCCGAGGCTGGACGAGGTCTGGGGGCAGAGGGCAGGGACCAGGTGTGGTGTGTGCCTGCAGCAGGGGGTCCAGCCCCAGGATGTGTGGGAGACGGGCCAGGGCGGAGGGGCTGGCGGGAAGGATGTATCCCGAGAGGACGTGGTGAGGAGGGTGGTGGGGACTGTGCCACGTGGGTGCGTGGGTGGCACGTGGTCTGAGACGCTCATACTCTGGCAGTGACCACGGTGCTGGTGAGGGATGGGGCAGGGTGCTCTGGGCTATGGGCTGTGCCCTGTGTGCGGGCCGCCACTGCCGCACTTGTGGGGTTGAGGGGGACACGCAGGCCTGTCTGTCCCTCCACCCCACGTCCCCACGCTGCTATTCCGACCTCAAGGAGGACCTGTTCCATCTAACCCTGGGCACAGCCCTCCGTGCTCCCCAAGAGCCGGGCCAGGGCCTCGGGGAGCTGTGCCTGGCGGGTGTGGGCTCAGGCTGCAGCTCCCCACATTCTGCAAGGCTCAGCCCCTTCAGGGTCCTTGTGGCAGGGAGTGGACTTAGGCCACCCTGTCACCACCCCTGACCCGTGTCCCTACTGGGTGGGCAGCAGGAATCGGCACCCTGGGTGCCTGGGCAGGCGAGAGGGGAGGCGGCCCTCTGTGAGCAGTGTCCAGGGTCAGGGCCCCTGAGGTGTGAGGGCCAGTGGGCAGTCCCCTGGAGTGGTGGCAGTGGCCTGCCTCGGGCCGGGGTCAGGCCCAAGGAGGTGCATGGCAGTGGCCTGGCTGTGGGCTCTGCGCCTGCTTCCACCCTGGGCTCCGAGCCGACCCTGGGGCTGGACCCGTGTGGCTCGCTTGCCCTGCTTGGACGGCACCCGTTGCTGCTGGTTACTTGTGCCGCCCCTCGCTTCCAGCCTGGCGTCACAGGAGACCACAGGGAGCCAGCGGGGGGAGCCAGCGCGGAGGTGGCTTCCCCGGCACCCATCCTGACAGCCACCCCTTCCCGGGTGACAGGGGGCTGGCCCTGAGAGGAGCACTCGGCATTGCACCACCTCACTGCAGGGCCGGGGCGGGGAGCCGCGAGGAGGCAGCCTGCCCCCCACGGGAGCCCCTCCCGGAGCCCTTGAAGCCGTCCGTGCTGGGGGCCCTCATGGGGCGGCGGCTGGGCAGAGGACGGTGCTCGAGTACATGCCTGTCCCCCCTCCTGCCTGCGTGTGCCTCCACGCACACGTGCACACACTGTACACACCTGCCACGTGCACACGTGCCCTGACCCACTGCCAGGCACACACGTCCCGAGGGGCCGCAGCCACCGGACCGCCCTTCAGGATGCCAGGCCCAGGGCGGCTGGGGGTCCCCCTGGGGGCTGCGGGCCGGTCGTTGCTCTTGATGGCGCGTGTCCTTGCAGGGCGCCTGTGACGGCCTGCCCTGACCCGCTCCCCAGGGGGCGTGGGGGCCGTGTCTCGGTGGCACCTGCTAGTCAGGCCCATGCCGTGCTAGGTGATCTGAACCAGAGCTGGAACTACCCGGTAGCTTCCTGAGAGGACTGCAGTGGGGCTGTGCTGGGAGCAGCCCCTCCAGGACTGGGGGCACAGGTCTGTGACTGCACCCACTCATCCACCCAGGGCCCTGGCTAGAGCCTCCAAGGGCCGTCTCCAGGCGTCCTGAGCAGGCGGTGGGGCCCCGAGGGGTCGGCAGGAGGGAGGGAGGAATGGGTGCCCCGCATCCACCTCCCGAGAGCTGTCCCCAGTGGCTCACATCTGTACGGTCACTCCAAGTGGCCATCCCCCACACCTGCCCTGTCGGCCACCGTCACCCCAGCCCGCTTGTCCCTCAGCCTTGTGCGCCCCAGGCCCACACCACCTGCTCCCAGCACAGTGGGTTCTGGGCGGGCTGCCCCCAAGGACAGAGCTCCGCTGATGCAGTGTCTGCCCTGCCGGGGCTGCCTCAGGTGCTTCAGGCTTTGGGGACCCAGCGGGAGCCCTGCGGTGCCCTCTGGGGACACCCATCCCCCCGCTGGCAGTGTCATTGACACTGCTTCCACCTGTCCCCCCCTTGGCCCTCTGCTGCTCCACGGCGGCTTGCTGGGGGGGTGCGGGTTGTGGCCCGCTGCCCACTGCCGCGTTGATGGAGTTGGGCCCTGGAAGCGTGTAGGGCGCCCCCCCCCAATCCTGCCAGGCTGCAGGGCAGACTCAGGGACGTGAAGTGCAGGCCACAGGTGTCACCGCCAGGGGGACGTGGTACCTAGTCCTCCGTCCTGGGTACGCCACCGTCCTCAGCCCTCCCTGCCCCGCAGCCGCTTGCCCCCTGGTGGCCACAAGTGGGTTCAGCCGAGGCCTCCCACCCCCTGGGAACGCTGCATTCCCCGAATAATAAAGACTAGGAGCCTCGAAGTGGCAGGGTGCCAGTCTGGGTGTGCGGTCTTTGTCCAGGGTGCGTCGTCCGAGGGCCCGCCCGGCTGGGCGCCACCAGCGCGGGCATCACAGGCTCACCCAGCACGCTGGGCCCAAGGACCCCCTTGCTCAGCAAGGCAGCAAAGACTGGCACGGAGCGAAGGCGACCCGACACAGGCGCAGCCCCGGGCCCCCGCCACCTGGACCCCGGCCGCCCCTGCGCGTGCGGCCCTCCCGGTGGGCGGCTGCGCTCGGGGCCTGCAACCCACTGCGCCCGACACCCGGGCTGCCTGTGGGCCGAGAGCCCCCTGTGGCCCCTTTCCTCCCCTGGGCGGGGCCCAGTGCCTCTGCCCCAAGCCTGCAGCCACACCAGACGCCCTGCCTGTCCCCTGCCTTGCGAGGACGACGGCCCTTCCTGGGGCCCCCGCGGCCCCAGCTCCAGCACCCGTGCTTGCCAGCCCCCAGGCCCTGAGCTGCCCTGGACGTGCACCGCGGCCCCTCGGGGTGGGGGGTGCCAGAGGGGCTCCCGGGCCAGGGCTTCTGGGCTTCCAGGCTCGGGGTGGGGGTCACGCTTGCGTGTGGCCGGCAGCTTCTCCGCGGTCAGCGCCTCTGTGCCTACGTGCCTAGAGGGCCGGCAGGTCCCCGGGGAGGCCTGGGCCCCAGCCAGGCTGGCAAAGCCTAGGGGCCAAGGGACCAGCTCCAGAGCTGCAGGCCCTTCAAAGGGGACGTGGGCGGTGGCAGAGCGAGGCTCTTTATGGCTTTCCTGCCGGCGGAGGAACCTGGCTCAGGAAGCCATTGTCTCCGTACAATGGGCCCGGCTGGGACCTGTGCGGGCAGGGGCCCGGCTTGGTCACAGCCTGACCTTGACCCTGACGTACCACCATAGTCCCCAGCGCCCTCTCACGGCCCGCGGCTGGCCCTGGCCAGGAAGTGGCCTAGGGCACCCGCAGCATCCCTGGGGGCTGTGGAGGGGGCGTCCTGCAGCCCAGGGCGGCCCCGCGGGCAGGGAGGGACAGTCCCCTTCCACCACGAGTGGCGCGAGCGCCCAGGAGGCCCGAGCTGGATGGCGGGTGCGCCCACTCGGCCAGAGCGCGGGGGCTCACTGCTCCTCTGCAGCAGCCAGAGCAATCGCCCCCAAGCCCTTGGGAGGTCCCGTCTGCCAGGCTCCAACTTGGTGGGGCCCGGGAAGATACCTGCCCGGCGCGTGGCAGGGCGTGAGCTCTGGGGCCAAGGGCCAGCTGTGGCAGGGCCTGGCTGCGGGTGGTCCCGGCCCGGGAGGGCGCTGGGTGGCCCAGGGGCGGAGCCTGGATCAGCCTCACAGGTGTGCGGCTCGCACAGGTGCGCGGTCAGCCATGGGGAAAGGGAGCCCTGGCTCTGGGGCAGCCCCTGCAGTCCCCCCGCCCCCCGATCTCCCTGAGGTCTCGCCGCCTCCCCATGCCCCGCAGAGGCCCCTTACCGGGAGACTGTCTCCCGCCAGCACACGCGGGGCTCTGGGGGACGCACAGCTCCCCTCGGGGTCCGGGCTGTTCACCCAGCATTGGTGGAGCCTCGTTGCGCCGTCCACTCCGTGGTGGGCCGGGGGGACGCAGGGGTGGGGGTGGGGGAGAGCAGGGGTGCAGCCCCCTGGACCGTGGCGGGGTGGCCGTGCGATGGTGGGGAGGCCGGGCAGGGGCTGAGCAGGGGGGCCCAGAGGGCGTAGAGAGAGTCAGGGCGATGGGGAGGCCCCGGAACGGGCAGATCTCTGGGGCTCAGCGGCCTAGGGCGCTGCTCAAGGGCCCCGCGGTGCAGCCCCAGCCCGGGAATGTGGGTGTTGGGGCCGCCCCCAAGGTCCCCAGCAGCGCAGAGAGCCCCCCCTTCCCCGGCCTGTGGGCGCCTCGGGTCCCAGCCAGCAGGCGGCACTGCAGGACAGTTGGGCGGCTCGAGGGCGTCCGGGTGCCTCCGGCGGCGGGTTCGGGTCTCACTGCTGCCGGGAGGGCGGCAGTCTGGGAAGGAGCCCACGGGGACCGGGGACCGCTGGCTCCCTTGCCGTTTACCTTGGCACGGGTGTCTGATGCAGGCAGAGCTGCTCCCCGGGCCCTCCCCACCCCCTCAGCGTTGCCTCCGGCCTCCCCTGCAGTGTCCCCAGGCGCC